GTGATCCGTTTCTGAGGAAAAGTGAATGGATTTGTGGATTATCAGTTCTAATGCCCCTCCCATTAGTGTGGGTGATTGAGTTTGCTGTGCGGGAAACATACACATAAACTGGGACATCCTTTGTGTTCTTTCCTCCCCTCCACTAGTGGGATTAGGTCAGAGGGCGTTGGGGATTCTACTCTGCTGAATAGAAAGACAAACAAAGCTGGCCCCACGGGGCCAAGAAAGAGGGAGGAAGAGTGGGCTGAGCGGTGGAGAGCAGAAGGGTTGAGAGCACAGCACACAGGGACCAACCAGGTGCAGAGTGCGATGCAGAAGCTCACACACATATTTAGAATGTCAGATCCTGGCAGGCTGTGCGTTGAGCAAACAGGATCATTCTTGAATTTCAAAGCGGGAGACTACGTCACCCTCAATTTCCACACCACATTTCAGAGGGAAAACGAAAGAAAGTATAGATTTCTATTTAGGAAATGATTGCCAAAATATGCCATGCACTCAGGTGCAACTGGCCAAGAGTGGAGACGGACAAAGAGGGCAAGGAGGGGGCAAATTCCCTCCAAAGCACTGAAATGGCCTTTCATCTTGTCAGTGAGGGTCAAGGCAACCCTACTGTTCACCCAGAGCTTCTCATCCCCACTCAAACAGTCAACATTCTCGTCCCAGCATTAGTTGAAGCTAGTGCAGCCTGGGGACTGTCAGGAGAGGGAATGCCTCTGCTCCAGGAACACCCTCCTCCTTTCACATCATTGTACAGAGAAACCCAGACCACATATAATGACTTAAAGGGCCCAGCAGCGGCCTGGTGTGATGAGTGCATTTGATGGTCATGTGTCTGTGTTGGCAGAGATAGAGAATGGCTCCCTCCGTTATCAGCGAAGGCTGGTATCCGTCAGATAGACTGGTCACCATCAGGACACAGAGGAATCTAGGAGATTGTCTAGTATCACAGCCATTTAACACCCATGAATGATAAAACTGAGGCCCGGAGAGATTGAGGTTTGCATAAAACATCTATTTAGCCTTAGGCTAGAAACAAAAAATTATTTGAAACAATATAATCTGTGGAGTGCTGTGTAGCACATGGCACTTACTTTGTTAAAATATGAGGAGTAAGTTGTAGTCCCTGATGGCTATACAGACTTTGACAAGTGATATAACAGAGGACCAGCTCAGGAGACAATTATTGTTAGTGTCACATGCTATGTGTTGGGAAGGAAGAGGTGAAGTTGAAGTTTTAGTCAGTCAATCAACATTTGTAGATGCAGCTTCTTCTCAAAGCTTTTCCTTTGTAAAAGACAAAAAGGTAGTAGTTCCTACCTGGGGAGTCTGAGACTGTGTGTGTGTGTGTGTGTGTGTGTGTGTGTGTGTGTGTGTTTGAATTCAGGGCCTGCAGAGGACAGAAGAGGGCATCAGATCCCCTGGAGCTGGAGTTACAGGTGGTGCTGAGCCGGCAAGGCTGGAAACCTAGCCTCTGGAAAAGCAGTCAGTCCATAGTCAACTGCTGAGCCATCTCTCCAGCCCCTGTATTTCAATAGCTACCCAGGTAACATGTTTTCTAGGAGGCAAACTGAGAAATAGACTCTTTACTTTCTGTGTGATTCAATCTTTCTTGCCATGCAACTATTGTGGTGTGCCTACCTCATGCTTGTCTAGAGAAGATCTAGAATCCAAAACCTGTGGTTCCTTCTTTTTAACAGAAATGAAGTTAGTCCTCTCTCTTCATTCCTTAAGACTGATTTTATAAGCCCAATTTTAGAACTTTACATTTATCCTTAATAAATGTCCCTTTCTCTCACCTTAACAAACGTTTCTGATTTTATCAGTCAATATATTGCCTTCCTTTCTACTTTCTGCTGTCCAGAAACCATCTCAAAGTGATTTTAAAAAGTAAACAGTTGGCACTCTGTTTGACATCCTGGAAAGAACTTTTTCTGTGTGGGATGCCTGTGCTCTTGCAACTGCAGACATTTTGAGAACAAACACTCATCTATTTGTGGACATCTGTCCCAACACTTGACATAGCCTGTGCCACCGGCACTTAACATATGGCAGAAGGAATGGCTGCTCATGTGGCCACCAGCTCTTTTTTATACTCAAAGGTGATAAAGATGAAACTGGCCTGAAGACTTTTTTTATTGCTTGCTACATCCTATCAGATGATTTTTATGACCAGAAGTAACAGGACAGCATCTAAAGAATGACAATAATAAATACAGCTCTTATACATTTCTGCCAGAGGTAAAAAGGGAACAGATTCTTTACCATACTGTTTCATATGATCCAGTAAACCCAGTAATTTAGCAATTTCACTTCTGGGTGATGGTCAGATGACATGAATAGATGTTTTCACAAAGGAACACACTGAAATGTTTTGGCAGTCTTATTCAGAATAGTCCTCAACTGGGCATTATTCAATCTCATATGACATCATGTCTTCAGACAGCAGACTAATAAACACCAAATAGGAATGGTCAATTGATGCATACCAAAAGTGGGACTAATCTCACACCCAACAAATACTTGAAAAGTGAGTTCTTTTTAAAAGAGCCTGTAGTTTTGCTTGTGTAAATTCTAGAAGTAAGCAAAACTGTTACCTGTTGAAGAAGAACCTACTGGAAGAAACCACTTGTGTTAGATGATGATGATGATGATTAAAATTATTAATTTTTTGAGACAGGGTTTCTTTCTAGCTCTGGAGCCTGTCTGGGAACTAGCTCTTGTAGATCAGGCTGGCCTCGAACTCACAGAGATCTGCCTGCTTCTGCCTCCCGAGTGCTGGGATGCTAGAAGTATTCTTGATTCCAGTGAGATTAGACCTAAAATAGTTAGGTGAATTACACAAAGAGTCATGAAGCTATACAACTGAGACTTGTATATTTCACTCTATGCATGTACATTTTTAAAATGCCAAACAAAGGTATTTGCAAGAAAAGCATAAAGAGAAATGGCTTTGTCGTCAGTCAGAGCTGGTAATGTATTCAGAAGGCAGAATGACTGTCACAGCTTTCCCCAGAGGCTGACTCAATGAGTGTAGATAACAGATGTGAAATGCTTCATCAAACACAGAGTCGGTAACTTACCCGTGCATGCAAGTCCTGTAGGCCAGGGCTTCTTAAGGGTTAGCATATATACGTTATATTGGAGATCTTGAAAAACAAATTACGTAAGTTAAAATTCTGTATGAATAGAGTGAAGCCTGAAAGCATCTAGCAAGCTTCTAGATAATTCTCTTGTTGCTTGTCAATGAACTGGATGAATGAGGAAGCATGAGACGAATGGAGCTTATCCCAGGGAAAAGGTTGGGATCAAATCCACATTTTAAAGGTCCTGTTTGCTAGTAATTTAAAACTTAGACAACACAGGAAGAAAGAAAAGAAAGTTCCAGTCTTGTATACCCTGAGCCAGAAAAGGGGAAGGTGGATGGAAAACGAGGAAAGAAAAACATTTTACAGAACCATAAATCCTCAGGGAGGGCATCACTGAACATTGGGAATGATGGAACAAAATTATCCAAGACAGCTTGAGGGTTCTAACTTCAGCCAACACATACGTAAATAAATGTTAATGTTCATTGTTTTATCAGATCTTTTGATCAAAACTGCGCTTAGGAGGAACGGATGTCATTAAAATAAAACTGGCTTTGTTTTGTTTTGTTTCTGATCTGTATTTTGCTTTGGGCTTATACCGGCAGAGAAGGAATTTAGAGGAAGAAGTGTGGTGGATGGTCTAAGACTAAACACATCAAAGCAGAAGATGTAGGACGAAGGGTTATCTAAGTCAGTATAGCCACAACAACAAATAAACCCCTGAACTACTCAGTGGTTTTCAATAAGGCTTACCTCTGCTTGGCTCTGCTCAGGATCAAGAGCACATTCTGCTCAGTGCAGGGAGCTGGAAGAAACTTGCTATGTATGGATCTTAAGCTTTTGTAAAGATTCATACAATGTCTCTCCTCTGACATTTCTAAATCAAGATAGATAAAAAGGGCCTGATGTAGGGATGCTCAACTACAGGTCATATTGTCACAAACAGAGGAATGTAATCCTTTTACAGATCAAAGAAAAATATCAGCCCTTCCCTGCCCAAAGATGTACACAAGGCAAACATTTCTAGCTCTTGTGTATCATGCTTACAAAAAGTCCAAGGTCTAGACTTATTTTTTTTTAAATCCAACAGTTAAATATCCTCAGAATAAAACCTTTCATTAGCATGAGGTACAAATGAACAGATTTCAATTTCCTATCTTAGTGGATATTCAAATACTCAAAATCCTATAGGGAAGAAGTCAGGTGATGTGGGAGAAAAAAAAAACAGCAGTCTTCTTCTGATCTTTTCTATATTCAGTCAAAATCTAAAGGGGGTTACCAAGCTATTACACCATCCTATTTCATCACCTTCCCATGTGCTGCTGATGAAGGAATGAAGAACAGGATGTTTTAATTTAGAGGGGTAATCCTAAGTATTCGAGATCACTCTATCTTAAAAGATACCTAATCTAACACATGGGGGCCAGAAAATGACTTTACAACCTTGCAGATCATTATCTGCCAAAGTTCAATAGATTGAGGAGCTGAATACTAATTGTGTCAAGAATAGAATTTGTTTGCCCAAATTATCTGGATATTCCACATAAAATAATTGAAGTAAATTTAATTATTTGAAAACTGGCCTTGGTGCCCTCCATTTCCATTTTAAAACACTCCTTGTGGGAGACCTTTAATTCCAGCAGAGCCAGGTGGATCTCTGTGATTTTGAGACCAGCCTGGTCTACAAAGTGAGTTCCAGGACAGCTAGGAGCTAGAAGCTAGAAGTGTTATACAGAGAAACCCTGTCTCAAAAATGAAAGAAAGAAAGAAAGGAAGGAAGGAAGGAAGGAAGAAAGGAAGGAAGGAAGAAAAGAAAGAAAGGCCTCTGAAGGATTTGCTTTTCAGACCTGGGATTAAAGCTATGAACATGCATATCATATTTCTTTTCTTTTTCGATCACTGTTGTTACAGGACAAGAGAATGAGCCAACAAAGAGTGAAGTGAAAACTGAGACAGAGTCCCCAAGCTCATCCATGGAGACAGAAGGTACTGAAGCCAGAATATATTGAATATTATGAGCAAGAATGAGATGAAATTGTAAACTATGACTTCTCTATAAAAAGCATGAGTGAGTGTGTGTGTGTGTGTCTGTGTGTGTGTGTAAGTATGTACACGCACATACACGCTGGAGGATGGTGAGTCAACCTCCAGCTTTGTGCAAGTCTTGAATCTTTGAAGGTCACAAAAAGACTTTCTGCTCTGTATTCGTCATGTTTTCCCAATAATTCCCACTTAAACATCCTTGAGCCTCTGTATTCTTATATTTAGAGCTTCCTTCAACCCAAGAAGATGCCACGATTGTGGAGCAACCAGAAGTGATCCCCCTGACTGATGATGACCAAGAGGAGCAGGAAGGTGGAGAAGGTAGGAGTCCTCCTAAATTAAGCCATCACTAATATAGAGGTTCTATGGGTGCCTGCCTGGAATCCAACTGCCAAAGCTATCCTTCACCGCTGTAGCCATTAAAAGGAGAAACGAACTTGTCCGTAACCTTGAACCTATTTTTGAAACTAGAGTAAAATCCAGAAGTGGTAAAGGTATTACTGACAGCACTCACTGCTCTCCTTCCCAATAGAATGTAGATATATTTGCTATCCATTAAGATTTCATTTAAAAATTTGAAACTCTGGCATTGAGAAAGTCTGTAAGAAATCCAAATAATGGGAGAGAAATGAAGTCCTAGGGAAAAGGAAAAGAACAAATAGATCAAACGTTTTGCAATGACGTCACCCTGCCTTCCTTTGCACGGTGATGATTAAGGAGACATATGAGAGCGCTCATCCTCTGAACGTAATAAATCGCAAGCCTTGTCTGCTAATCTGGGAACAGAACAGCATTGAATCCTAGTTAAGAAGTAAATTAGGTCACAATGATTTCTGCTATGATCAGTAATATAAATAATTTATAAATAATAAAATATTGGGCAAAATAAGATTGTATTAAAGAAATTTAATTAAAGAAATCAGAATAATTTAGTATTGACAGAAGAATTGTAAGAGTCTGATTCCTAAGTATCTCCTTAAAAGGTCCATGAAATAATTAGTTACACCCTCTCACAAGTCACAGTGCTCTAAGTAGTGGGTATCTGCAATGGCAGTCAGAGCGCCATCACTGAGTAGACCTTGTTTACGGAATACCATGATCAATTTTCCTTCCAAATTAAAGCACAGACATGATCTCAATTGTAAAATCAGGTCAATTGCAAGTACAGCTTCCAAGTTACGAACACCTCTTGACAGGAACATTGACGTCATTTAATTGCTGAGCTCCAGCAGTAATTTTGACTCTTAAAAATCCACTCTGTTTACATCCCCGCACTCTTCTTCTGTGTCTTTGCTATGTTCTTCTCAATTTGGACTCAGAGTTCAGCCTCATGACACCGTGTTTGCAGTAAGTGAAATGAACGGCATCTGGAGTAGTTTATCTGATGGTGATAAGAGAGGATCAATACACCCTTCTCTAGATTCAGATATATAATGTACAAAGCTACGTATAGGAACATCCCAACCTTTTGGTTCTACCACCAAAGCAGTACAGACACAATGCATGCTCATTTGTTTAATTTTTCTCTTGAGGAAGTTGCTTGTTTTCTTACAGTATCTGCAAATGCAAATGGATTAAAGAACATCAAACAGCTTGTACATTCTGCATTTGCAACAACTTTCTTTGAGTTTTTACAGTAAAAGAATAGCTCAGGTGGGCTTGAATTAGCCATCTTTTCCCTCCTTCCTGTCTATCACAGTTATTTACCTTGAACATTCTAGAATTTAAATTGAAAATACTTTGAATGTGTTACCCCATTACCTTATTCTTTGTATCAGCAGAAAAGTGTAGAGCTATCCTGTTATAAGAAAAGTGCTTATGTTGTACATATGTTGCTAATAATAACAAAGACTGGATGAACCGATAGGAAAAAGCTCACTTGGGCTCACATTTCTGAAGCTATAAGATCGAGGCCTGTATCTGGAAATGGTCTTCTAGCTGGCAAAGTCCTGAGACAATTCAGGCATAACATGGACAGAGACAGAGAGTATATGCATGTTGTGTATGCATGTGTGTGTGTGTGAGTTTATATGTGTGGCTGTGTATGTGTGAGTGAGGGTTTATATGCTCATACACGCATGCCTACGCTCTCCCTCTTCTTATAAAGTCTTTAGGATTTGGTTACAGAAGATTCAGCCTAATGACCTTGACCCACTTCTAAAAAACACAATCAGTTTAAATTTCCACCCATTTAAATCCCAACAGTGGGGATGGAATTTCAACATGTGAAGTCTTGGACGATACCCAAACCATAGTAACACCCAAAAGAAAGGAAGACAAAGTAGACTGGTTTACTGGTAAGTTAGTAAACCCTGCTGAGGCTCTTCCATATCAACGACAACTGAGTGACATCGAGGAGTTATTAACTCATCTCCATCAGGGCTCTCATCTCAATGACAGTAATGACCAAAGTAACTGACACCCCATTTGCAATGAATATTTAACCAATAGCATTGTTACACAATTGTTAAAAAGCCATGGCACACAAAGTACTTAGTGTTTAGCCCAATTTGATGACTTGATGATAAAGCAAAGAGACTCCAGAAGGAAATTCTCCAAGGCCGTCTGTTATTTTCCATAACTATCAGGATCCATAAAAGTTTCACATATACTACTACCTTCAGCAACAAATAATCACTCACATTTGGTTGACAAAACCATATTATAAAAGCAGTAGAATATGATTGTGGACTGTTTACCTGATGAAATGGTAAATGGTACCCTATAGAAATGCAATTATTAGTGGATGAGGGAGAACAAGAGTTCTGTCACCTAGAAACTGACTTCCTTTGTGAAGATCCCAATCTTGTGTTTCAGAAATAATAATCAAACCATGATCCCTGTTTTCTAAGCAAGATGTCATTGAATTACTGGTAGTTCCACATAAGGAGGTCAATGAGTAAATTCAAGGTGCTTATATTTCTTTTACTCTCTTTAACTTCAAATAGTTATTCAAGAGTCTGGTTTGAAAACATTTTAAGACTCTGTCTTGATGTTTTGTGCGAATTCATGAAGGCATCTCTTAATGGGAAGATATCCAGATATATAGCAAATTAAATATGAGCAAAGTAAATCAATATCCTAATTTATTTGTAGAAAAATGTTCTTTGTAGTTTAGAAAACATTCATTCTCTTTTAATATGAGAATCTTTCTACTGAGGCAGACAGTGGTTCCTTTAAGAAACAAGGAGAAAAAGGTGCAACATCCTTCATTCACTTTGCATCATTTTATAGGATTAGAAAATGTAGATAATCTTCAGGACATGTCTTCTATGGCTCCCAAGTGTATCAGCACAGATGTTGCAACATTAAGATTTGAAGTTAGCTCTACCAAAATATGGATTTTTAAAAGAAGAAAAATATTCAGCAGAAGCTCATGCTGATAAAATTACACAATAGTACAATGGACATCTCCCTGGGAGACCTGAATGACAGAATTTTCAACAGGCAAAAAGTGGGGTTTCACATATGGCAGCTCTCCTCATACAGCCATATCGCCTCATCCTAAATGAGCCCTGGTTTATGCTTTCCCAGCAGGATCTGCAATGCATTTAGAATTTAGGAAAATAGCATCTTTCAGGTTAATAACTCAATAGGAGAGAGGTATAGGAGATGCTTGCTGAAAAGGATCTTGTGTTTTGTATAAAATTTCATAAAAATTTTACCCCTCATCAAATTTAGAGTTTTTGTTATAAATTTTCGATGATACCAACATGTATCATTATTAAAAACAAAATTTTCCATCTTTGCTTAGGATACATGTTGGACTTTTTATTCAAGGTTTACCCAGAGTGCAAACATTTGCTCTCAATTATTTTTCTGAGAACAATTAATTTGTCCAATATGGATGGACAGCAACAGTTCACCTATTTATTTAAAGGTGACCAAAATTGTTCGGGAGCTATATCCTTGGGAATTATTGGAGAAAGGGCTTATGGACAGGAATCTGGCAGAATGCTGTGTTTGAACCCGTGATGAGCATGAATTTTTGTTTTAATGTTCACACTTTTCAACTGGCCAGTAGGACTATGAAACACATACAGGAGCCATGTCATGTGTTCAGATCTTGTGTCCTGACTGTGTGACTGCTGGTAAATCTTTTGACATCTAAGCATTTCTAAGGTAGGAATTGGAGACATAGACTCAATGATAAAATTGTAAGGTTTCAATTTGTTCAATTTTCAAAGCAGGCCAACTTTGAAGGACATATTCTTGATGAAAAATATCCGATATCACTGAAATGGTGGGATTTCTCTAGTTTTACTTATTTTATTTCATTAGTGAAAATACAGAGCTCCTAGGACATTCACAAAGATGCTCAGAATAATAACATTTTACATTAGATTCTAACTTACCCTGAAGATACATAAGTGAGGAAGTATGCCATTCCGCTTAACTTTGGTTTATACAAACTCTACTCAGAATCACCCTTTTTCATCATCATCATCCTCTCTCTCTCTCTCTCTCTCTCTCTCTCTCTCTCTCTCTCTCCCTCCCTCTCTCTGAACATACACAGCAGCATTCTTTCTGGCACTCCTCTGGCCACTGGTGCATATTTCAGTGAATATATAGTAAGCCAGCCACTTACTCTTCTGCTGCTTACCAGCCTGACCCATTAGAGGTTTATCTTGTCTTTAGGGCACCAGTTCTCCTCTCCTGGGGTTTTCCATTATTGATGGCATCCCCACATGGGTGACCATATTATTTTGTTTTTCCTTGGAAAGTACCACCTGGACCTGCAATGTAGCCTCCTATGAGATCACTAACACTGGGGGGTTCCATAGACAGCCTGTGCTGTGCTAATGATAACCAGCTTGCTCGGGTTTTCTTTTGACTTGTGAAAAACACTAGATAAATCTGAATAATAAATCCTTCCTAAAACTGGCCTGGGTTTCCATCTCTATGTTGCATCTTGCTTCTTGGTTAAGAGATTAACTTCCTGGGACTTCCCATTTCAGACACCCTGTGTTTCTTCTCTTCAAAAGAACTCAGCTGAGCAGGGCTGTGGTTCTCAGCTTCCCGGGGGCACTTTCATTCCAATGACTTGCTTCTGTTCTTCCATCTCTCCCTAATCTTACTTTGCGGCCAGAAATGTTCAACTCAGATTTGTTTTAAGATCAATTTTACATGAAGAAGGGTTGGTCCCTGTGTAGGCTCGATGTAAATCCTGAAGTGTTCTATAGAATTCCCTGTATGTGTTGAATACATTGAACATAAAATTAGAATGTTTTAACCTAAGTTCTAATTTAATATTATTTTAAGGTTGTTTTCAGAATGTTAAACTATTTTATGTTTCACATTCAAATAAACATGCACAGAAT